TGTGTGTGTGTATGCGTATGTGTATGTGTACGTGTATGTGTATTTGCATATATTTGTATGTATGTGTATATATATATATATTACTATGCGTGTGTGTGTGCATACGCATACGTATGGGTGTGAGTATGTACGTAGGTATGCATGCGAAGATGTATGGCATGCATGTATGTATGCATGTATGCATGTATGTATGCATGGATGGATGTCTGTACGTATGTATGTATGTATGTATGTACGTACGTACGTACGTACGTACGTACGTACGTATGTATGTATGTATGTATGTATGTCGTGTGTATGTATGTATGTATGCATGTATGTATGAATGAATGAATGAATGAATGAATGAATGAATGTGTGAATGCATGAATGTATGAATGTATGTATGTACAATACGTATGTATGTATGCATGCATGCATGCATGTATGTATGTATGTATGTATGTATGTATGTACATGTGTGTGTGTATGTGTGTGCCTGTGCGCATGTATGCTCGTCTGCATGTCTAAATGTCTGTCTGTATGTATGTATGTACGTATGCATGAGAACATGCATTAGCGTATGTATGCATCGATCTATGCACATGGGTACGCATGTATGTATGCATGTATGTATGTATGTATGTATGTATGCATGCATGCATGACATGCATGCATGACATGCATGCACGTGTGTATATGAATATGAATATGACTATGATGTATGTATGTATGTATGTAGATAGGTATGTATGTTGTGTATGTGCGTGTGCATGTATGCTCGTCTGCATGTCTGAATGTCAGTATGTAAGTATGTATGTACGTATGCGTGAAAGCATGCATTAGTGTATGTATGCATTGATCTATGCACATGGGTACGCATGTATGTATGCATGTATGCATGCGTGCATGACATGCATGCACGTGTGTATATGAATGTGAATATGAATACGATGTATGTATGTATGTATGTATGTATGTAGGTAGGTAGGTAGGTAGGTAGGTAGGTATATATGTATATGCGTCTGTATGTCTGTAAGCCTGCATGCACGTGTACGCATGTGCGCATGCATGTGTGTCTGTGTGTAGGTAGGCAGGCAGGTAGGCAGGTAGTAGGTAGGCAGGTGCGAATTGCGCATGGTGCCTACATGCATGTATGAAGGAAGGCAGGTATGTAAGCATGCATGTCTACATGCATGCATGTAAGCATGCATGTGTGTGTGAATCAGCATGCATGTGTGCATGTGTGTTTGTATGCATGGATGATGTGAGAATGTATGCATGCATGCATGGAGGTAGGTAGATAGGCAGGTAGGTTGGTAGGTAGGTGGCGGGTAGGTAGATAGGTAGGTAGGTACGTATAGGCAGGTAGTCAGCTCACCGGCTCATTGGAGAAGGAATTCTACTGCGAACTGCCACGGCTCTTGTTTGTGCTTTCTACGCGAATTTGTATCCAAAACCCTGAACGACATTGGGAAGTAACCGTTCCTTCACGCTCTAGGGCTTAGGGATCAGGGTTTTGGGTATGGGATGAAGGATCTATAAATCTATGATTGCATGTTGGGAGTGAGAGGGGCATGGGAGCTTCTTGCGAATTACTTCTGTGCAGTTTGGTCCAACCGAAACCCGAATCTCGATGCTCTGACCGATCAACCTTAGTGCATCAACTCAACTTTGAACATCTATGGAATAGACTTTTCGAATCAAGGTTCTAAACCCCAACTCGTGATCCCTGAAACCTAAACCCGAAACTCTTAAGTAGCCAAATGTAGGGGCCTAGAAAACTAGAATAGGGTTTTGAGGGTATATTCTACTATAGTTATGATAAGGATCCCCAAAATTAACCCAAAACCCTACACCCTAAACCCTAAACCCTAAACTCGACAGGCCTTCCACCTCAAACCCTGAAGGCCCGACAGTCCGTAAGACGTTCAGAGAGGTGAACCAGAGAGGGTTTAGGTTTTGGGGTTTAGGGTTCAGGTTTCTTTTAGAGAGGGCTTCGGGTTTAGGGTTTAGGGTTCAGGTTTCTTTTAGAGAGGGTTTAGGGTTTAGGGTTTAGGGTTCCGTAAGATGTTCAGAGAGGTGACCCAAAGTGGGCTTCCATGGGAGGGCCAGGTCCAGGACGACTTGGGAACGGCTCTTCACCTCGGATCGGCTGTTTGAGGGGTTTTTGGGGTTTAGGGTTTAGGGTTTAGGGTTTAGGGGTTCTTGGGGCACTTCGGGCGGGCGAATTACAGAGTTTCGGGTTTCGAGTTCAGGGTCAAGGACACCTCGGCTGTTTCAGGCTCGTCGGGAGTCTGCGGAGGGGTTTATGGGGTTCTGGTTTAGAGAAACGTAGAGTCCCTGGAGGGAAGTGGAGCTTTGGGCTTTGGGATCAAGGTCCATCAGGCTTCCTTGATACTAGGCGGTTGTCAACCGTAAGGTGTGACTGTCCGTCAACTTGGGAATTGCCCTAAACATTTCGTCTAAAACCCGAAACCCTAAACCATAAAACCCATAAACCCTAAACCCCTGAACCTCAAAGCGAAACCCTAAACTCTAGACCTCAAATCCTAAACCTCAATCCGCAAACCTGTTTCAAAGCTCATGGTCTCTAGGAGCGACGAGCTGCAGGCAAGCCAGGACCATCCAGGGCTGTTCGTATGGAAGTTGTGTAGGGTTCAGGTTCGGAGTTTTGTCGGGTTTTGGCCGTTTTTTGTTTTTTGGCCGGATTTAACCCTAAACCCGAAACCCTAAGCTCCGTGGTGCTTTTGTCGTCCCGCCCCGCCCGGCCCCGCCCTGCTTGCTTGCCTGGCCTGCCGGCGCTGCTCCCCTCTGTCTCTTTTGGTTTAGGGTTTAGGGTTTAGGGTTTAGGCCCTGCTCTGCCCGTGCCTGCTCTGCCCTGCCATGCCTAATCGTTGTTATGCAGGGCTAATCTTCTCAAGAACCCGTCGAACGAAGCTAAATTTGAATCGCTTGCCAAGTTGCTCTTACGAGAGATATTGTTCCGAAAAGTCATTAGAACAGTTCACCTGCGAAGATGTATCTAAGTTCATTTGAGGGTTTCGGGTTCCGGGTTATGGGTTTAGAGCCTTTGGTTTTAGGATTCAGGGTTTATGGGTTTGGGGTGTAGGGATTCAGGGATCCAGTCATATGCTCCAACTTCCAGGCTACGTTTCAGCTGCACACCGGTTACAAAATGTTACAAACTAGCTTTAAAGCTTTGTGTTGTGTTCGATCATTCCTGTCCAAGTTTCGTGCCGAAAGTGCAGGTGGCTCACGCAAAGGCAAGGGCTCTTCGGAAACTATGGCAACCCAATAAACGGACTGACAATTCCGTAGGGGATACGAGAACAAAGGGACGGGTTCGTGACCTTGCAGAAAACAGCTCCTGAAATCCTGAAACCCCCTACCCTAAACCCTATAGGGTTTAGGGTTGAGGGTTTAGGGAACCCTAAACCCTCAACACCCTAAACCCTAAACCCTAAACCCTCCCCCGGTTTCGACCAGGGAACCTCGACGGACGATTCGGTCTGGTTCACGGTCTCGTAGTCCTCGCGCCAAGCTTCCCGAAGCTTACAGGAAATCCAAGGGGCTAGGGTTTAGGGTTAGGGTTT